TTGGCCGTTTTCGGCCTCAAGGGGGGCCTCCTCTAAGCCCTGGGACTATCACAAACCGATTCAGGACGAAAACCCAGTCCCGGGGAACGGTCGAACCCCGTGGGGGTCGACATTGAAGCAAAACACATAACGTCGGGGAAGACGACGACGACGACGACGACGACGGAAGAGGAGGAACAGGGCTGGCTTTTCATCTCAAACAATTAGTTTGACAGTGCTGGGGTCTTGCGAAGGACCCCATGAGGCCTCAATTAGCCAGAAACTGTCTGGCGTGATTGCTGTCACGGCACGAGCATGTCTGGACTCCCCTCCCCCCTCTGTCTGGGGGACACAAGGATTCCGATCCCGCCACTTCCAAGACCTCTCCTGGTGTGCCTTCTGACCAGAATGTCGAGGAGAATCTGGCAATCTTAGGGACGTGTCCTCATAAACTGCGGGAGTCCTTAAGATCGGCACTGAGGCAATGTGATGCCAAACACAAGGATGGGGGTATGTCTCAAGCTGGTCAGTGCCTGGGGATCTCCACCCCACCCCTTTCGCTGGAGGCTTCGCCCATGTTCGTTCGAAGCTCCCGGCGGCCTCCCTTGAAGGGGCGCTTCAGGCGCGTGCCCACGTCGTGAATCGCCTGGCGCCGTCGTTCTGCTGCCCCTTCTCCGCTCTTCTCGCCATATCCCCCATTCCCTTCCTCGCCGTCCTCCTCCTCCTCCTCCTCCTCCTCCTCCTCCTCCTCCTCCTCCTCCTCCTCCCCTCCCTCCCTCTCGCCCTCCCCCTCCACGTCTCCCTCCCTTCCTCCTCCTCCATATCTTCCTCCTCCTCCTTCTCCTCCTCCTCCTCCTCCCCCTCCTTCTCCCCTCGCTTCTCTATTCCTCTCCTCTCCTCTCCTCGCCTCCTCCCCTTCCCCTCTCCCCCCACTTACGCCAGCACTGGTAGCACAACCACGGCATCGAGCTCAAGCACCCCCACATATGTTCTCGAAGCGCGTGACGAATGGATTCGGCGCACGGCAAGGCGCATTGGTACGAAGATTGGTGCGCGCGGCAACGGAGATTACAATGGAGGCTGTTTGTGTCAACGGCCGATGACGACATGGGGAAATGGAGCAGGAAGGTTTGATCATGAGCCCAACCGCGACCAACACACGTGCAAAGAACTTACCACAACGACCCAACAAAATATAGATCGATGGCATGGCGAATTTCATCCACGCGGCCTCCGGAAAAGATTGGCAAACCATTGCTCCGAACAGTGTTCTGTGGTTGTGGTCTCAGATGGAGGGACATCACGTGCAACGGCATCGGCAACGACAGGATGAGCGAATCGGCCGGCAGGCTCTTCCGTTGAGGGGCAACGCTAGGGGGAACTGGTGAAGGGGGTGACACGTCGACCTGGCATCGGCGATACCTCGCCGATAGGTCGGCGATAGGCCCCTGAGGGTGCATCCGCACGGTGCTGGGCTGGGTGGGGCCATCGGGCCCCCATCGGCGAGCCATGGGCAAGTGGGGGTCGATGCATCCCCCCTCTATGCGTATCCCCCCCCCATCGCTGCCTCCGATCCGCTCCCCCCAGCTCCGAAGCAGGTGACTTGTCTCATACTTGTCGGCGCCGCGGCGGCACCGCCCAGCCCCGCGCAGGGCCTACCCGCGGGAGGCGCAGGGCACAGTGTCTCGGCGGCGAGCGAGGTGTCTAATGTCCAGTGTTTGGCGGCGAGCGCGGGGAAATTGAAAATCTACTGCCTACCAAATCCCCCCAAACCCAACCCGAAGACCCAGATTTCGGGTTGGGCGGGGGTGCGGGTTCCACACGTGCTTTTGCGATGCTCCCCGACGCCCCCCTCACTGGGAGTGGATGGCAAAGTGGGGCCTTCGGGTTGGGTTGGGGCGGTCTGGTGGGTGAAAAAGGGCGGGCCGTCTCAGAAGGCTCGGAAATACTCCGGCCTTCCTGAGAGGGACTTATCCTTCTCACCTCCCCCCCTCGCTCGCCGTCGAACAGTGTCCAATGTCCAGTGTCTCCCGCTTCCAACTTGCGCTCCCTTGTGCCCCCTCCACCCAAAACTTTTGGCGCACCCCACACGACCTTGACCTCTCATCCTGCTTTTCGTCCGTCCTCGTCCTCGTCGTCCCTCCTCCTCCTCCTCCTCCTCCTCTCCTCCTCCTCCTCCTTCCTCCTCCTCCTCCTTCCTCTCCTCCTCTCCTCCTCCTTCTCATCCTCCACCTCCTCCGTCCTCCTCCTCCTCCTCCTGTTCCTCCTGCCTCTCCTGATCCCGTTCCTCCTCCCCTCCTCCTCCTCCTCCTCCTCCTCCTCCTCCTCCTCCGCCTCCGCCTCCTCCTCATCCTCATCCTCCTGCTCCTCCTCCTCCTCCTCCTCCTGCTCCTAATCCTCCTCCTCCTCCTCCTGCTGCTCAGAAGGCAATTATCTTCGCGTTTCGCGTTTCGCAAAGCTCGAATCGCAAATTTCCTCGCGCTGTCGCGCCGCCCCCAAGGAACAGGATGAGGGCGCCTCGCTCTGAAATCGCCAAACCGCGATGCGCGAAGCGAGACCACCTTTCGACCTCTGATCGCCAGCCCCCCCCCACCGGGGGGGAAGCCTGGCCCAGCTGCGGCGCCAGCGCGCCGGGGGCGTCCAGGTCCGCCCAGCCAGCGAACCAGCGGGGCACGTAGCGCAGCAGGATCGCCGGGGGTTGGCCGTCCTCGGGCCGCGCATCGTGTTGCATTGAAGCCCGCCATGGTCAAGACTTGGCGGCGCGCAGAATGGGGGTTACGTGTGTGTATATAAAGAGAAAGACAGAGAGACAGAGAGAGAAAGAGAAATAACAACAACAAAAAACAGCGGTGCTTCTAGGAAGCCTTCCCCCCTCCCCATAGCCCCCTCTGCGCGAGGCCAACCACCTTAGCCAAGATGTGGGCGGGCAGATTTGCGGCAAATCGCGGCGTCGTCGTCGTCGTCGTCGTCCTTCAGGGTCGGCGACATCGGCCGCAAGGCCTTCACAGCAGCGGCAAGCAACGGCAGATAAACGCAACGGAGCAACGGCGATTAGCTACCCACGCCTCTCGCCAACCGTCCACCAATCACCCCCCTACTCGCTGGAAAAAACTTCCGTTGCAATTGTAAGCTTCCATGAAAACAGCCCTACCTCGCGGGGAGGGGCCCAGACATCCGATGCATTGAACAGCTTTGGTCGGCGGCGCCTCGGATACGAACTGCGGGCAAGCCACGCTGGGACACAGGCGGGAAGAATTGCGGCACGCGGGGGCCACCTCAGAACGTGCAGCACTTCGAGTGATGCCAGTGGCAGGCTCACGCGCTCGTCGAAATATTGAAAGAAACGATGATTTCTGTTTGTAGATTGCGGACTCTGGGGACCATCGACCGACCCCGGGACTGTCCAGAAACGACTGGGGATGAAAAGCTTGCCCCAGGAAAAGATCGGGACTCCCGGGGAGGCCGTAGAAACACAGCTTTGAAAGCATGGTGTCTCCTACCGCGGCGTTTCTCGATATCGGACTCTGGGGGCCCTGGCCCAGCCCTGGGGCCGTCCAGAAACGACTCGGGATGAACACCAGCCCTGGGGCAAGGATCGAGACGTTCGGGGATTATCCCCGGCATGATGTTTCCCACCGCAGCGCTTCTCCTCGACATCGCCTCCCGGCGGCCACTTTCGGGCCCCGGGAGCTTCAGGAACGGATCCGGGACGTGAACTACCACTGGGAGTTTCTGGAACGGATCTAGGGTCGGAACCTCTGGCGCCGCGCATGGGGCAACATCATAGTTTCTGTTGGCAGTGGCTCCGCGCCACGCGCAAAGTGAAGGGGCGAAGAACCAAGGGTGCTGTGGCTGGCTACTGGATGGAAAGAGCCGTCGGCAACGCTGCGGGGGTGACCCTCGATCTGCGCGCGCGGCAGGCGCGCGTCCCAGCTCTGAAAAAAACAAAAAAGATAACTCAAAATCATATCTGCGAATGCAGAGTGTTGCGCTGGCACGGTGGCAGAACCCATTGGCCCATGGAGCACGCGGCACGTGCGCGCGGGGGGGCTAGGCGATTTGCACGCGGGGCGGCGGCAATGGGAAGGGCGATGGGCGGGGCTGGCAAGTTGGGGCAAGCGGGGCCTCGACTGCCAGAACGCGGAGGTGCGAGCCGCCAGTCGCGAAACTCCCCGAACCACGCGGCCCTGACTTCCGCTGACATCTCGCCATGAAAACGCTCCCTGGTCGGTCTCCACGCGCAAGAGCGCCCTGCCTGCTGCTGCTTTGGCAGCCTCGCGCATCCGATTCGCATGCACCATGAGCGAGCTACCGCCGCGGCGCGCGGGCGGCTCGGGCCCCTGGTCTCCCAAGCAAGCTGCACCTGCGCGCCTTTTGCGACCCTGGGCCTCGCCAGCGGGCAGGACGTGGCCGAGCAACTGGTCGAAGAGTGGGCCCAGGCCGATTGCGCTCGCATCCCCGCCGAGTACCCGGTCATTCGAGGGCCGACGCACTGCCAGCGCGCGGTCGTCGAGCTCTGGGCGCGGCTCGACTGCGCCCGCTCCATCACCGCCGTCAATATCGCGAACTGGCAGAGCACGTAGTTGGGCACCGCTCGAGAAAATGTCGCCACCGCCTCCAACCGAATCAAAAGGCAAACGCCGCAAAGCGCAAGTCGACCTCGCCCTGTCTTCCTGGCCTCTGAGCGCCTTCTGGGCGGCCGCCAAAGCGCGGCCGCCGTTGCGGGCGTGCGCGACCATGGCTTGTTCCAGAAAAATTCGTTAGACGTGTTACCAAAAGCTCGTGGCCCCGTTGTCGAAACCCGGCGCGAGAACGCTCCGAAAATCCGTGACGAGCCGCATGGGGCTCAGCGAGGTCTTGGCGCACATCTGGGCCTGTCGAAATGACCTGGCTTCCACGCCAGGAAAAAACAAAAAACGCCTGAATCCACGTGTAAGCACGTCCAAACAACATTCTCGCGCGCTGTAAATCTCTCTGGCGGCCTCTCGCGCCTCTTCTGGCCCCCGCTCGTCGCTGTGCAAACGACGCAACAGGAATGGAGGCGAAGAGTACTTGATGCCGTGCCGCCTGTCGATCACTGAGTTCATGCGCAGAATGACCCCCAACGCGAACTTCTTGAAGCTTTGTTCATGGACGGGCGCACCAAGCAAGTGCAACAACCCCCAACACTCACGGTCAGGATCGGTGAAGCCCACGCGCGCCATGTCAAGCGGGTCTGACTGACAGACCGTGATCTGAGAGGTCTGTCTGTGCAACAACTCATCGGCGTTTGGGGCGGGCTTGGACCTGTCTGCCCCGCCGAGGAGAAAGTGCAAGAGATCGTCGCAGATCGTGCGCGCCAGAGCGCGCACTGCGAATTCGCGGTAATCCCACCAGCGCCCTGGGCGCAGATGGTATAACGAATTTGCTCTTCCACAATTCGGCGAGTGCAAATGCACCCCCACCCCCCTTTTCCCGCGGGTCTGGGCGGGGAGAAAGGCACGAGTGATTGGAGCGTTCAAGGCCCCCCGCGATGGCTCCAATATTGCCTACGTTCCTTTTTTCATCGCATGTTTGCCGACGCCCCTCTGCGGACAACTCTCATGGACATCGTTCGCGGGTGGGGTGGCGGGGGCGCGCGAAGCGTCGAGAATTTGAATCGTCGGCGCAATGTTCGCAAGCGCGGTTCAAACGAACGGAATTCAAAAGAACTTCATCACGCATCTCGTCGCCCACCGCCCCTGCATTGTTCCTTGGGCGGTTGGCATGGGGCGTCTCTTGCTTCAACGCCCCGACGCCCTCGAACAATTTGCGCAGCGACGTTTCCCGGAATTGTTTCATCGCGCGCGCCCACTTGCCCCCTCCAGGGACAACTTCGGCTCGGCCGAAAAAACAGCTGATTCAGCCTGTCTGTCACTTTCCGGCGGCAAGAGAGCTCGTTGTCGCAGCGAGGTTGTCCATCTGGCCGCCAACAGTAATGGATCCATGACTATGCTGCTGCGTTGTCGTTAGCTACCCCCAGCAGCTCGAATCCGCCAGCGCCCGCGCGCCCCGGGCCAGCGACCCCCCCCCCCCGGCAATCGAAAACTGCGCGCCCCGAAAGCCACGGGGCCATTCGCGAGGGGGCCACGGCCCTTCGTCGAGAAAGCGCGTCGGAGAAAGCGCGCGGAGATTGACCGCCCCACGCATCGTAATTTTCATCGCTCAGACGCCCGTCCTCGTTGCACACGCCACACTCGCATCCAAGTGAGGCTGTCTCCTCATCGTCGTCGTAGACCAACGGGTCTGCCCCATAACGTCCGTGACCACGTTCGTCTCTACACGTCGCGTCTAGCTGGATGAGCGTCGCCGACGCCACGTCGCCCCAGATGCACTCGTCGTTGCACTGCCCGAGTACAGCCCCATGCTGAGTCATGCTGATATCGGCCAACTTTAATAGGAAGTACGTACACAGATCTTCGCTCACCGTCGTGTTCGCTGGGAGAGACTTGAGCCGCCCGCACTCCGTCTCCCACCTCGACATGCAGTCCTGCACTGACTCAGGTATGCTGCGAAAGCCTCTGGAAAAATACTCATCGAATGCTTGCTGCTTCTGCAGTGGCGCGATCCGTTCGCAGGCTTGTCGGACCGTGGCCACTACCAAGCTTATTGCGGCAAATGGGTCCCCGCTTGCTTTGCCCAGCACTGCTTGCGTCGCAATCTCGGGCCTCTTCCTTGCGAGGTCCCACGCTCGCCCATTCAGAGAGCTCTTGAGCTTGATCGCGCAGAGCTTCTGCAGCTTCTCCTCGTTCGCATAGTAGCCGGAATGTTGCGCACTCCTCGATATCATCGCCGCAGACTGGGTCGCCGTTGTAGTACACGACGCCCTCCTTGTCCACGAGGAGGGGTCCTTCGTTGGGATGTTGTTGCCTGTTCGCCATCTTGTATTTGGTGATGGTGTTGCCGTCTATGATGATAGTGCTGCTGCCCAGCTCGTTGCCGTACAGCTCGTAGTAGATGTCGTCGTCACTGCTGCTGTCCGGGCCGCGGCAACGATTCTCGGCCAGGCTGCAAGTGATGATGTTCAGCGTGTTGACCGCTGCAAGAAGTGCGCAGTGGTAAAGCGCCGCGAGAATCTTGAGCGCCAGCATATATCTGCACGGCCACTCACAATATGAACCTCGAAACCGTAGAGCTGATACCCACCCTCCCGCCCAGCTTGTGACCCATAACAACCACGGGCGAAAGGAACAAGCAAATATAATTCTCAGTATCACCCTACATCTCACATCCTTGCCTACCCGATTTTCACACATCGGTTCTTGGGCCCCCCCACCATGCAAAATCCTGGCCGGGACCCCCCCGCCACGCCCCCACCACGTCTGACACCGCCAGCCTCCTGGAGCCTCTGGCCATAGGTTCTTAAGGGTTCCCCACCCTGCAAAATCCTGGCCGGGACCCCCCCGCCACGCCCCCACCACGTCTGACACCGCCAACGTCCTGGAGCCTCTGGCCATAAGATCTTAGGGGCTCCCATACCCTGCAAAATACTTGCCACGGCCCACCCACCACGCCCCCACCACGTCTAACACCGCCAGCCTCCTGGAGCCTCTGGGCACAGGTTCGTCAGGGCCCCCCCCCCACCCTGCACAATGCTTGCCGGGACCCCCCCACCACGCCCCCACCACGTCTGACACCGCCGGCCTCCTGGAGCCTGTGGGCATAGGTTTTTTAGGGTCTCCCCATCCTGCAGAATCGTGGCCGGGACCCCCACCACCACGCCCCCACCGCGTCTGACACCGCCAGCCTCCTGAAGCCTATGGGCATAAATTCTTTAAGGACCCCCATCCTGCAAAATCCTTGCCGGGACCCCCCCACCACACGCCCCCACCACGTCTGACACCGCCAGCCTCCTGGAGCCTCTGGCCACAAGTTCTTAGGGCTTCCCCCCACCCTGCAAAATCCCTGCCGAGCCCCCACCACCACGCCCCCACCACGTCTGACACCGCCAGCCTCGCACACCCGCAGGGCACAGGTTCTTACGCCCTCCCTCCATGCAAAATCCTGGCCGGACCCCCCCCCACCATGCCTGTACCACGTCTCACACCGCCAGCCTCCTGGAGCCTCTGGGCACAAGTTCTTAGGCCCCCCCATCCTGCAAAATCCTTGCCGGGACCCCCCCACCATGCCCCCACCACGTCTGACACCGCCAGCCTCCTGGAGCCTTCGGGCATAGATTCTTAGGGCACCCCCCCGCCCTGCAAAATCCTTGCCGGGACCCCCCCACCACGCCTCCACCACGTCTGAAACCGCCAGCGTCCTGGAGCCTGTGGGCATAGGTTCTTGGGGCTCCCCCACCCTGCGAGGTGCTTGCCGGGACCCCCCACCACGCCCCCACCACGTCTGACACCGCCAGCGTCCTGGAGCCTCTGGGCAGAAGTTCTTGGGCCCCCGCCCACCCTGCAAAATGCTTGCCGGGACCCCCCCCACCACGCCCCCACCACGTCTGACACCGCCAGCCTCCTGGAGCCTCTGGGCACAAGTTCTTAGGGCTTCCCCCCACCCTGCAAAAAAAATGCCGAACCCTCACCACCACGCCCCCACGACGTCTGACACCGCCAGCACCCCGCACAATCCTTGCCGGGACCGCGACACCACGTCCCCATCACGTCTGATACCGCCAGTCTCGTACAGCCTCTGGTATAGGTTCTTGGAGCCCCCCCACCCTGCAAAATGCTTGCCGGGACCCCCCCCACCACGCGCCCACCACGTCTGACACCGCCAGCCTCCTGGAGCCTCTGGGCACAGGTTCTCAAGGGCTCCCCACCCTGCAAAATCCTGGCCGGGACCCCCCCACCACGCTCCCACCAAGTCTGACCATGCGATCCACTCCTTCACGCGAGCGCCCGCAAAAGCACCAGGTGGAGTCGGCGGCAGACGCGGCAGCCTTTAGATAATCAGCATCATCATCATCATCATCAGCATCATCATCAGCAGCAGCATCCTCATTCGTCGTCGTCATCATCATAATCCTCAGCATCATCATCATCACCAGCATCATCGTCACAATCATCGCCAGCGTCATCACTACCTCGTCGTAATCACCACCATCAGCCTCTCCACCATCACCATCGTCGTCGTCGCCGATATCGTCCTCACCGTCGTCATCAACATCACCAACGTAGTCGTCGTTGTCGCCGAGCAGCTGTGTTTTTTGTTCCGACAAGTTGCGGATGGGTGGATGGGATGATTACACGAGCAATAGAGTTGACCACTTCAAGATCTTCAAAAACTGACTCTACCACACTGAGTGCACCACGGAGATTCTAACACCATGACATACAGCACAAATCATGCACCAAGTAGATTGCATCACGCAACTTGCACCACCTAGATTGCACCACACCGACATTTATCAGATACGCTGCACCCCATAGATGCCATATATTGAACCGCATAGCATACACCACATGTATTACACGACGTAGCTTGCATAAACACACACAGCTAAATGCACCAAATACTACGTAAGGTAAGATGAATCAATTACGTAGCTTCCACCACGTACATCGCATACCAAGGAGCGCAGCAACTCAAGCTGTGGGCTCCCAGCTGGCAAACGCTTCAAATAAACAGCGCACTGATTTGACTGAGGCATGCCTCCCTCCACCTGATCCCCTCAAAATCGGCCCCCGGGACCCCACCCAGAGCCCCTCCTGGCCAGCTTTTGCTGGCCGCGTCCAGCCGTCGCCACGAGAACCTCCTGTCTGGGACGGTGTTTTCGGCCCGCGTCTCGGGCCGCAGTTGGCCGTTCGGGACGCCGCTGACACCCCCCAGCGCCACTCGGCGAGGCGCAGCTGATGGAGAGCACCCTGGGCCCGATGCGACCCCAGAAACAGCCGACGACGTCGCCGTCGCCGTCGCCGTCGCCGCCGTCGCCGTCGCCGTCGCCTGCGTCGTCGTCGCGCCCTGCGCTTCTGAGGGGCTCCGCGTGGCGCTCCTGCGGCGGCACGACGTGGTAGAGGCTGGAATCGCGGGCGGCCACCGCAGCCGCGGCGCCCGCCTCGCGGCCAGAGTGGGGGGGGAGGGGGCCCGCTCGCGCCGCCCCTCGAACGGTCCTCCCCCTTGTCCTCCTCCTCCACCTCCTCCCTCCTCCTCCTCCTCCGCCTCCTCCTCCTCTTCCACCAAATCTGGTCCTCCCCTGCGACGGCTAGCAGAAGGAGCGCAAGCGGAAGATCACTCAAGCATCCCAGCTGGGAGGCCCACCGTGCGACGCGCACAAGGAGGAGATAGAGCCCTGCAACTTGGAGAGGTGCGACTACGGCGAATGCTTGAACGGGAAGTGGTCCGACTGGCAGGACTGGACGCCCTGCTCCGAGACGTGCGACGTCCTGCCTGCTCACCCTCCTCCTCCTCCTCCTCCTCCTCCTTTTCCTGCATTTTCTTGTCCATGGGGAAGGGGGGAGGTTGGATCGAAGATCAAACCGAGTCGCTCTATGGCACCGTGTCATCAAGTTGACCGAACGCGAACGACTGGCGCAGAGAAGGTGCCCGTCGCGGTGGCTACCGGCCGGCGTGGCCCCAACGCCGACGAAACCCGTCTGGACAAGCCCTGGGCCCCCGGGTGCGGCGCGAGCAGCCATTGCAGCTCGCATCGGCATGGCGATCGAGGATCGAGCAAGACAGGCACAAGACAGGATAATCACCCCAAGCTCCGTCCAATATCCCTGGGATGCGCTAAAGTGCACTGTGCACTCCTGCGAACAGAATCATCACATGGCAGGGATGGAAGAGGAGGAATGGCCTCGGAATTGCCTGCCACCCACATGCGGTGGGTCAGTCTTCACGGCAATCCCGAAGGCTCTGGGTACAAGACCCCTGGGGGGCGGCGGAGCGCAGCGTCGCGCCTCGCCCGACCCAGGTCGCACTCCACCGCAGCCTCGGGAACACGACGGCCTGGGAATTGACCCCTGCGGATCCTCGCCAGGTTCTCACGTCCCTTCCTACACATTCCCCCAGCAAACGGCGGGGGTCGGTCGTGGCCGTGAAGCCGCACCGAGCGCAGAAGAGCAGGCTGTGCCTCGGCCACAGCTGCACGCGATGAGACGCACGCAGAACTCCCCCCCCCACCCGAAACCGCACCCACCGCCCGAATGATGTCAGCAAGATGCGTCTCGACCGCATCGCCGTCCATCGTGCATGGGGAGGCGCACGCCTCGGCGAGACAGGAGCCAAGCACCAGCTGGTGGCATAGGGAGCAAGCCCAATGGCGTCCTGCTCGCACAACACAGTGACTGGAGGCAAGGAGCGCCTGCTGGATGGCAGACGCCGAGGGGGAGCGGGCACACGATGGCCGCTCTGCAGTCCACGGCGCGGCCGTCGCGGCGTCGAGGAAAACCTGCCCGGCTCTCTTGCGCACCAGGGCGGCCGCGCAATCCCACGTACCCGTGTGCGGAACTTGCCCTCGAGAGCCGCCTGCCAGGCGCGGCGCGAAGCGGCGCTCGCGAACTCGTCGGCCGCTTCGTTGCCCTCTGCCAGGCACCGCTCCCAGACAGACAGCTCGGAGGAAGAGGGGTCGAGATGACTGGGCGCCCAGACAACGCTGACCTCGCCCTCGCGAGACCGACAAGCATACCTGATCATGCGCCACAGATCTGCGTTGGGGCCGTTGCCCCCGCCTGTACGGTGGAGACCCTGTTCACACCCACGCAGCAGCATCGCACAATCGGTGACGTAGAGCTGCGGCCCATCCAAAGAGGCCGGGGCGAGCGCGAAAGCCTGCAGCTCAGCCCTCGGGGCCGTCTGGCGACGGCCGTCGGTACCACGCGCAACACTAGCCAGGCGTCGCAGGCCCCTCGGGGTGAGCTCCATCGCCACCGCGGCCGCACCGACTCTCCGCCTGCGAGCGTCACTGCTGAACTGTCCTCCTGAGCCGTCTCCCAAAACGACGACGCGGTCGCGAGGGTCACGCCCCGCACGGGCCGTGGAGTCGGCCTCGAGCGGGCACTCTGCATCCTCCCCATCCCGCCCCACACTCCAAACAGTAGCCCCACCCCGCCCATCCACGAACGAGGGAGTGGTGAGAGAGGAGGGGGGGAGGCCACGAAGCCAGATGGATGGGAATTGATCCAGCCCAGCCACGGCCTGCGGAATAAGGAAGTCCGAATCAGCATAACCCTCGCCCTGATTGCAGCGACATTGCCGCATCCTATGAAAAAGCGTCTCTGGGGACTCTCCGCATCGCGGGCGCAGAGGGGGCGCGAGATCACCCGCGTCTATCTGCCTCTGATGCGGCCACTGACCCCCCGAGACTACTGTGATTCGCTGCCCGACTTCATCGTACTTCCCCGATCGAACCGCTCGACGGATCTCCAAACGGATCGGGATGACATCAGCTCCAGCCGACAAGCCGATCGCCGAAAGGATGAGACGCCGCCGCAGCCCAGAGGGAGGAGGAGAGGTCCTCGCGGAGGTCGTCGAGGAGGTCCGAGCAATCGAGAGCATCCTCGCACCTCATCTCCGCGGGAGGCGGGTCGGGCAACTGCCAAATCTCCCAACTGTCGCCAACGGGTCTGCGCCACTCGACCGCCGAGACTGGGAGCCAGCCGATGGTGAGAAGGGTGGCCTGAGCAGCTCCAATGGGCCCTCTCACCTTGCGCCATCTCTTGCTGGCGTCTCGACCGATCCGCGAGCAAACCCGAAGCCATGAGCGATCAATGCGAGCATGCAAGCTGGGAGCGCGCGTCCACATGTCGAGCCATGCCGAGACGAACTGAATTCTGAGCGAGATCGCTGGATCCTGCCCGTCAAGCCACAAAGACAAGGTCGTGGTAAGGCATCTCCCAGGACCCTTCCCCGCCACGGCAGACGCGCCCGCCGTCGCAGGACGGTGATATTAGAGGGGGGGGGCATCACGGGGTGCCCATAGGAGGCCTGAGGGAGGGCCCCCTGGAGGAAACGCCCCTTCGAGATCTCGCAGAGCTTCGCATGCCTGCGCATACGGAAAATCCTGACAACTCGTCGCTGGTCCTTGGCCCTCCTGGCTCGAAGCTTCTGGACAACGCGCCTAGCTCCTGCTGCAGTGCCACACCCGAGATCGACAGCACACTGGGCACGCGAAAACAAGAAGACCTACCTCCTTCAGGTCTTTGTCGAGGATGCGAGGCAGTGATCAACTTCGTCTTGTCCGAAACTGGCAGCCCCACACTCGACAACGAAGAACCCAATTATCCCAGTGCGACCCTACCTAGGAGTTGGAGTATTTAGGAAAGCAACATCTACATCTACACCGACAGCTACGGTTACAGCTACACCTGCATCTACATCTACATCACCATCAACAACGAGACTCACATCTACATCTACAGCTGCACCTACAGTTACACCGACACACACACACATACATCTACATCTACATCTACATCTACATCTACATCTACATATACACCTACACCTACATCCACAGCTACACCTACACCTACATCTACATCTACATCTACACGTTCGCATTGGTGTTGCTTCTGCTGTGCAATGCATTTGATGTTGCTCTTGCCGTTACTGTTGCCTTTGCCTGTGCGGTTGCTGTTGCGTTTGCTGTTGCGGTTGATGTGTTTGTGTTGGCGATGTGCTGCTGTGATATGATATGCTGCGCTATGCTATGATATGCGGTGCTATAATGTGCTATGCTAGGCTATGATATGCTAGGCTATGATATGATATGCTACGACATGATATATGCGCTATACTATGATATGATATGATATGATATGGTATGCTACGCTATGCTATGCTATGCTACGATATGCGGTGCTGTGCTATGCTATGCTATGCTGCGCTATGCTAAGCAATGCTGTGCTATGATATGCTATGCTGCGCTATGCTATGCTATGCTATGTTATGATATGCGATGCCATGGTGAGCTATGATATGCTATACTATGCTATGCTTGGTTATGCTATGATATGCTGTGTTAATGCTGCGCTGCGCTATGCTGCGCTGCGCTAAGCTAAGCTAAGGTAAGCTAAGCTATGCTAAGCTAAGCCAAGCTAAGCTAAGCTAAGCTAAACTAAGATGATATACTATAAGCTAAGATACGCTAAACTAAGCTAAGCGACGTTAGGCTAGGCAAGGCACAGCTAAGCTAAACTAGGCTAAGCTAAGCTAAGCTAAATTAATATGATACAAGCTCAGCTAAGCTAAGCTGAGCTGAGCTAAGCTACAGCTAAGCGAAGCTAAGATGAAGCTAACCTAAGATAAACTAAATTAATATCATATACGCAACGCTAAGCTAAGGGGACGTAACTGGGGGAACCGCGGGGCGGATACTGGGGGAACCGCCCGGGCCCGTTCCCACTGCCCGGCCCTTTAAGTCAAGAGAGTAAGAACCCTTCTAGGCAGAGCCTAGGTAGGGAACTGAGCACTAGCGGCCCGCAACTGCTGTCTGACAGACGACTCGGTACCCTCACAGCGGACGACAGTGTCGTCGACGAACGTCCACAAACCCACTGGTGGGGCTGCGGGCGACAAGCATCGGCATGACCGGATTGCAGGATCGGGCCGAGGAAGACTTTTGCTAGCTTCACTCCATGCGCCGACCCCGCCACTATAGAACTCTCAGGAAATTGCCCTGGCGACGTACCGAACCCTTGCGCAATGCGGGGCATAAATACATCAGGATTACTAAAACGGGGGCGATGACGTAACACGGACGCATGTGATTTTGCGAACAGCAATCGGGAGGCTCGCATGCCCCCCGATCAAGATCTAAGAGCTACGTAAAGACAAATCACCCCCGTTGGCTGTGCCATGCGCCCGTTGCACCCAACGTATCCCACAGCAGCTCTTGAGAGCCTCCGCGGGATACGTGTAGGCGCATCGTTATGGCCATCGCCCAGCAGATGGTCTGTTTCACAAATCACCCCCGTTGGCTGTGACATGCGCCCGTTGCGCCTAACGCATCCCGCAGCAGCTCTCCAGAGACCACCCAGGGACGGCGGGGTCCCGCTCAGATCCCCACGGCGCCTCACTCCGCAGGACCCACGAGCAGCCCTCGAGAGTGGCGAC